AGATTGTATGTTTATTTACTGAAATAAAGAATGTGTGATTGTGTGCCATCAGAAAATATGGATTATACATTTATGTTTGTACTAGATCGAAATCCATTTTTTACTTAAATTGATTTTAAGATAACAATTCATAGTTCCTTAACATGATAATACAATCATAATAAACTTAATAAAATAGTTAATTCATTAAGAAAAAGTGTGGTACCAATAGGATTAGTTTATACATATTTCAAAACTTTTTGGTCTGGCTAAGATACATGTAAGAGATATTTCAAATCTAGGTTTTGATATACTTATCAGAGTTCTGATGAGAAGAGTGGACTTGAACAATGGATTTGGGATTAATAGTCAAAAACATGTTGAGATGATGGGGGTATGATGATTATGGGTATAACTGAAAAACCTAAAGATTAAAATAGGGTACAGTTGAGGGACAGCCACATGGTGTGGTGGTTAACTGAACCTGCTCCCGCATCGGTGACCATGCAGTTTGATCCCTATTCCTAGCAGCCTGAGAAATATGCCAGGAACACATATATGTGTGCTCTCTAACATGTACAGGACAGAGAGTTGGAGTAGAAGGAATTGCACCATGGCTATGCCTCACTGAGGTCTTCTGCTTTCTTTGTATGTTTCTATGGTGACTACACATCCTTTGGAAAAATAAAAGAAAAAAAAGAAAAGAAAATAGGGCATTATTGAATCACCAGAGTCTAAAATGGGGACAATAAAAATACTAGGAAAGCGTGATGTCAATGAATCCAAATGGAAAGATGTTTCAAAGATAGGAGTGACTATGCCATTTGAGAATTACTTAATTGGGTACTGATAAGTATCATTTAGATTTGGCAAAATAATGGACCACTTGTCATGAACAGTGGGAGTGTGGGAGTAGAATATTGTTTTAAATATTCATGAAGGAGACTTGAACTCATATGTAGAAACTGTGTGGGTAGTCATACATATTTTTGAGAATTTATATGTGGATGGTAGAACATAAAAAGTGTGGTAGTCATCACAGGCTCATCTAGATTCCTTTTCCTTTCTTCCTTCTTTCTCATTCACTCTCTCTCTTCCTCTGTTTTTGTTGATATAACAGACTAATAATAGTTATTTGCATTTTATTTTATTATTGCTTTTGCTGTTATATTAGAATATTTACTTCCTAAGTATAACTATTCCTGACAAATTAATGACTCAGGACTATTTCTTATTGGTAAAGACAATAAATTAATAAATAAACAAAAAAAACTGTGCCCAAGAAATTACCATATTTAGGCCTATGAGCTGCAAGAAACAATCAGTTAATATTGCAAAGGAAAATATCACTAAATCCTAGTGTTAGTAAAATTCAAAAGAAGTTAATGGAAATGCATATTATGGAAAAAAATGCATAGATTTTCATTACATTTGAACCAAAAATAAGCTCATGCTCTAATTCCATTTTCCACAAAAATTTTTAAATCCTTTTACAGGCACATCAAAATACATCTCTCCCTATTCATCTCCATGGTAACTCTGCTATCTCTTGTGTAATCTGTTCCCTCAAAAGTGTTTCTGTTACCTAGTGAACTAATCCAGCTCTAGCTCCACTAGAGAAAACAAAGACTTTTCATGTTGCTTCAGAGTGCAGTGCAAAAGTGATTTCATGATTCATAAATGATAACCACGAAGATGATGATCACTGGTACTTATAACATGATTTAACTCCTTCTATTTTTCTTCAGTATTTTCAACATTTTATTTTAAAACAGTTGATTTTTCAGAAATGAGATAAGCATAAAATAAAGTATGTTTGTATATTTATCACTCAAATTCCTCAGATTATGTTTTTTTTTAATGATTCTATGGTTTTTTTCCCCTGTGACATCTGATTGTAATTATCTGTAAAAACTTTAGGAAACAGTTGCTAAATACGAGGATAATCTTTTACGCAGTACATATATAATCAAGAAATTTGTCTTGAGGCCAACAGATTGTGTTGTGATAAGGAAGCTAGATCCTACATGGCCAACTGTACAGTTCAAGTCCAAGACCCAGCAGCTTTAAAGCCATTCCAGACATGTGTGCGTGTATGCCCAAAATTCCAGGAGGAGAATGAAAGAGAAGAGCCTGAGGCATGGCCATCCCCTCAGGCAGTGCTTTCTCACCCCTCCCTCTTCTGTCCCTGGTGAGTGCATGCACCCTATGGTAAAAAACAAACAATAAAAATACTAGGAAAGCGTGATGTCAATGAATCCAAATGGAAAGATGTTTCAAAGATAGGAGTGACTATGCCATTTGAGAATTACTTAATTGGGTACTGATAAGTATCATTTAGATTTGGCAAAATAATGGACCACTTGTCATGAACAGTGGGAGTGTGGGAGTAGAATATTGTTTTAAATATTCATGAAGGAGACTTGAACTCATATGTAGAAACTGTGTGGGTAGTCATACATATTTTTGAGAATTTATATGTGGATGGTAGAACATAAAAAGTGTGGTAGTCATCACAGGCTCATCTAGATTCCTTTTCCTTTCTTCCTTCTTTCTCATTCACTCTCTCTCTTCCTCTGTTTTTGTTGATATAACAGACTAATAATAGTTATTTGCATTTTATTTTATTATTGCTTTTGCTGTTATATTAGAATATTTACTTCCTAAGTATAACTATTCCTGACAAATTAATGACTCAGGACTATTTCTTATTGGTAAAGACAATAAATTAATAAATAAACAAAAAAAACTGTGCCCAAGAAATTACCATATTTAGGCCTATGAGCTGCAAGAAACAATCAGTTAATATTGCAAAGGAAAATATCACTAAATCCTAGTGTTAGTAAAATTCAAAAGAAGTTAATGGAAATGCATATTATGGAAAAAAATGCATAGATTTTCATTACATTTGAACCAAAAATAAGCTCATGCTCTAATTCCATTTTCCACAAAAATTTTTAAATCCTTTTACAGGCACATCAAAATACATCTCTCCCTATTCATCTCCATGGTAACTCTGCTATCTCTTGTGTAATCTGTTCCCTCAAAAGTGTTTCTGTTACCTAGTGAACTAATCCAGCTCTAGCTCCACTAGAGAAAACAAAGACTTTTCATGTTGCTTCAGAGTGCAGTGCAAAAGTGATTTCATGATTCATAAATGATAACCACGAAGATGATGATCACTGGTACTTATAACATGATTTAACTCCTTCTATTTTTCTTCAGTATTTTCAACATTTTATTTTAAAACAGTTGATTTTTCAGAAATGAGATAAGCATAAAATAAAGTATGTTTGTATATTTATCACTCAAATTCCTCAGATTATGTTTTTTTTTAATGATTCTATGGTTTTTTTCCCCTGTGACATCTGATTGTAATTATCTGTAAAAACTTTAGGAAACAGTTGCTAAATACGAGGATAATCTTTTACGCAGTACATATATAATCAAGAAATTTGTCTTGAGGCCAACAGATTGTGTTGTGATAAGGAAGCTAGATCCTACATGGCCAACTGTACAGTTCAAGTCCAAGACCCAGCAGCTTTAAAGCCATTCCAGACATGTGTGCGTGTATGCCCAAAATTCCAGGAGGAGAATGAAAGAGAAGAGCCTGAGGCATGGCCATCCCCTCAGGCAGTGCTTTCTCACCCCTCCCTCTTCTGTCCCTGGTGAGTGCATGCACCCTATGGTAAAAAACAAAAATAAATAAATATATAAATAAATAAATAAATTTGCCTCATTTATAGTAATAAGTTAATTAATTATTTTTTATCTATATGTGATGTCTTCTTTTTGTCTCAGCCTCTGTAATAGCCAGGACTTCAGACACACCCCACTGTGTGGAGTTATTAGGTTGTGCTGAGTCCATCCTAGGTGTCTAACTGGCCTCAGCCTATCTAGTAGCAGCATTTACTGCATTTCTATATTTTTTTAAAAAAAAGTTATAATAGTTCATGCTGCATATGAGACAGAAACAGAGTGGGAGCACCTTTGACAGGAATTCTGCATGAGATCATCTTTATCTGGCCCTTGAGCTTGTGAGAATCTTGGGCACCCACATTTATACCCACTGTGTTTCAGGAGGACTAGGCAGGGAATTTGAACCCAGTCAGCCATGTGGCTTCCTATGTGGTAGTTCAATTTTGTGACTGTGCCTCAGAGAATGGGCCTGGCCTCACATATGACTTTGAGCCTTTGTCAATGTCCTGAGATATAGGAAGGAACAAAGACCAAAATAAAATTTAAGATTGTTTTTTTATTTGGTGTGGGAGTGCAACTTGATGGTGTATCCATAGTGAACTGCTCAAGTGAAGCTAGATCTATATGGGTGATCATGGGATTGGTTCACTGGTGGACCTGTAAATACCAGGCATGTGTGCCCATGATCATCGTTGTTTTGGAAGATGGAGTAGGGACTCTGTTGTGAAATGATGCAGAAATCACTGCTGTATATTCATTCTTTATAATCTCAGGGAACTACAAGACTGAAAATGACCAAACAGAATCTTTACCTTGCATCATCCTCCAAAGGGATTAGGAGTCCCCAGGAGACAGGATTCATTCAGATGTCACAATCCTTTCCATTCCTTCTTCATAAGCTGAGCACTGAATCTTGCACCACAAGGAATGAAATGAAAAAAGGGTTCAGAGGCTTATTCAAGAGCAACTTCACAACAGTAGTCCGATGCTCTCAGTAACTTTAGTCACAGCTACCTGGTATGTGCAGTGCCAGCAGATCACAGAGAATAAATGTGAGTGAAGATAAGGATCTAATTTGTTTAAAACGCTTTGTACACTCATTTGCGTCTGTAACCTTGAGATCTAATGCTAATGAGGTTCCCTGTGAAATCATGTATGCTTGTTTCCCGTATGAGCTGAGGTTCCCAGGAATTCTACAGTTAGCTTTTCTGTGCTAGACTCAGAATGACTGTGCTATTTTAGTGGTTCTCACAGACAGTAGAAGGCTTCAGCAGAACTGTGAACAAATATTTATCTTCACTTGAAGACACCTTCCAATACTCATGTCTCCTCCTTCTGCTTCTATCAATTCCTCAGTGTTCGTCCTCACAGGGTTCCCTGGCCTGCAACAGTACTATCCCTGGATCTCCATTCCCTTCTCTTCAATCTACGCCATGGTGTTCCTGGGGAACTGCATGGTGCTCCACGTGATCCGGACAGAGCCAAGCCTACACCAACCCATGTTCTATTTCCTGGCCTTGCTGGCCCTCACTGACTTGTGCATGGGACTGTCCACTGTGCACACGGTGCTGGGCATTCTGTGGGAACTCAGCCAGAACATAGGCCTGGATGCCTGCATTGCACAGACATACTTTGTGCATGGTCTCTCGTGCACAGAGTCAGGAGTCCTTCTCGCCATGGCCTTTGATCGCTTTACTGCAATTTGCAACCCTCTGAGATATACAACCATCTTGACAAATGGTAGAGTCATTCAAATCATGATAACTATTTTAATGAGAAGTGCCTTGTCCATTCTTCCTGGCATCATTCGTTTGAAGTTCTTCTATTACTGCCGTCCCCACTTCTTATCGCATTCATTCTGTCTGCACCAAGATCTGCTCCGGCTGGCATGCTCTGATATCCGTTTCAATAGTTTCTATGCCCTGGCTCTGGTGATTTGTACCCTGTTGTTGGATGCTGTCCTGATCATCATCTCCTATATTTTCATCCTGCACACAGTGCTGGCAATTGCATCCCGGGAGGAGAGACTCAAGTCTTTGCAGACCTGTGTGTCCCACATCTGTGCTGTCCTTGTATTTTATATCCCCATCATTGGTCTCACCATGGTACACCGCTTTGGAAAGCATCTCTCACCTTTAGTTCACGTCCTTATGGGCAATATCTACATTCTCTTTCCACCCCTGATGAATCCAATCATCTACAGTGTAAAGACACAGCAGATCCGAAGCCGGATGAAGAAATGGTTTTCTCTCAAATTGTACTGATATACTTGGATTTAGCCGTTTGAATATTTGAAGGTGAAAGTCATAATGCAAATTTCCATCAGGGCAACAATTTAAAATTTGAATGAGCTTCTTTAATGTTTTCTTCTGTTGTTACTTGAGTAGTAAATAACTTAAATTGTTTGCTAGTGCATCAGAAGTAAGAGAACTATATTACTTGTGTTCATTACTAAAAATATTTCTTAAATTTTGTGTAAGACTAATAACTCTATTTTATAGACACGAGGATAAATGTTTTTGCCTTATGTTGATAAATTCATGTGGCTTGATTTTCATATGAAAATTGTATTACCCTGAATTTATCAATATTTAATTGTATCTATACTTTTACATATACAACTACCTAAAGTTTTGGAATGTGTCCATTGATTTTCAGGCAGTGTTAGATTATATTTACCATAACACTGTACTTTTCCTCTGTCTTAGAGGTGAGATGAATACCATGGAAGTACAATGCTGAACCTTTCCTTAAGTATATTCTCTTAGTTTTTTCACACAAGTGACTTAAAATATGTCCATTGAAGATATTTTAAAATAACAGGGTTTCTAATCCTTCTATTCCAAATATTTTCTTCTTAGTTATATTCCATTTTATTAAGATATAAGCCTATCATATATACATTTTAATTCTTTCAATAAATATTATATTATTTGAATTTCATTATAAAATTATAAGTTTTTAATAATGTTCTTTATGAAATGAATTCGTTTTAAAGATATTTTGATAAATATAATTGAGAAGTGATGATGTCTCTTACTAGAGTAACAGATGTCAAAATAAAAATACAAGAAGAGATTTGTATGCTACTAAATATATACAAGGTCACTGAATGCAGTTTTGTGACTAGAGAAAGGTTTCATAGCTGTTGCTGATATATCAGGTTTGTGAAATCAAGTTGATAGTGAGGCATTCAATGAGAGAAAAAAAGGCAAAATATTTATGTAATGATTTAGTGGAAACTATTTTAAAAACATTGCTGTATCTATGGAGTCATTTATTAAAATTTCAAATTCTTGTGTAAATGCCCTCTGTTTTATAAACAGTGCTATAAATTGCCAAAGAACTGAGAAACAGCATAAAGAGTACTTTGCCTATATTAGATGACACAGAATAAAGGTAAGTTGATATCTATACTTACGATTATGCTAAATTCCATTAGTAATAAATGAAGATTCCAATGACAGCCTAAAGGTGAAGAAAAGTCTCTAATGGATTACAGATGATTTAAGGAATGATTTCTCTGAGAAAGTAGTATGTATTTGTGGTAAATGAAAAGATCACAGTGTGACCATTCCTGGCCCTTCTTTTCTGTGGGTACTTTCTCCTCTTCCTCTTTGTCTCTCTATCTCTCTCTGACAAGTGCACATCTTCTGGCAAAGTAAGAAAAAAAATCGGATACTATTGAATCATCAAGCCTAGCCTGACATAGGGCAATAAAAATATTAGGGAGCATGATGTTAATTAATCCAAATGGAAAGGTGTTTCAAAGAAGGAAATAACTGACTGCCATGTGAGAACATCTTTTTCAGTACCATGTGGGTACTGAAAAGTATCTCCTGAATTTGGAAACTATAGAACACTTATCATGAACAGTGCAATAGAGTGAGAACAGAATTATTTAGCAATTCATGAAGGAAACTTGCATTCTTACATGGAAATTATGTTGATAAATACATATTTTATGAGAACTTTGACATAGACAACAGAATATAAAAGATATAGGAGCAGATGCAGGTTATCTAGCTCTCCCTTCTGTCCTTCCTTCCTTTCCCTGTCTTTCTCATTTTTCATCTATTTCTGTTGATATAAGAAATACACAATTTTGGGACCAGCAGTTAACATAATGGCTATGTTGCTGGACTCCCACATAGTCGACCGTGGTTCGCGTCCCATACCCAGTGGCTTAAACTCACTCTGGGCGCGTGTGTGTGCGTGCCCAAGATCCCAAGAGGAGAATGGAAGAGAAGGGATTACGGTGTGGCCATACACCCTGGGGGGGTGATTTCTCGCTTTCTGTCTCTCTGTCTCTCTGGCGAGTGCACGCGCCCTATAGCAAAAAACCTCTCCAAAAAAAAAAAAAAAAAGAAAGAAAGAAAAAGAAATACACAATTTTTACTTGTATTTCATTTGATTATTGCTTTTGTTATATTAGGATAATTACTTTCCAAACGTAAATTTTCCTGCCAAATTAACAAAACATGATGACCATTTCTTACTGGCCATAAGACAAAAATATAAATCCCTTGCTTGAGATACTGCTATCTTTATGTGTTTCTATTCTGATATAGTCAGTAACAATCAATTACTATTATAAAGAGACATATTAATAAAGTCTTGTTTTAGTACTATTTGAAGGATTCCAAAAACGTTGTTGAAATGCAGGTTATTAAAAAAAATCATCCATGAATTTCAATTTTTTTCGCACAAAAATAAACTCACACTTTAATTTCATTTTACCATAAACTTTTTGAAGTCTTCTCATACATACTTTGAATTTCGTTCTCTCTCTATTCATCTCCATGTCAACTGAGAGCTATTTCTTGTTTAATCTATTCCCTCAAATGTGTTCCTATTAACTGATAAACTAACCCAGCTCTAGTTCCACTAGGCCAAGGCTTTTCCTGTGCCTTGGAGCACAGTGCAGAAGTAATTTCACAATCCATAAACAATAACCATGAGGATAATGATTCCTAACTAATATGTAGAGCATAATTGACCTCCACCTATTTTTCTTCAATATTTTCCATTTTTATAAGAATTTGACTTTTTTTTTTTTTTTGGAGAGGTTTTTGCTATAGGGCGCGTGTACTCACCAGACAGACAGAGAGAGACATAGAGACAGAAAGCGAGAAATCACCCACCAGGGGGGACGGTCACACCGCAATCCCTTCTCCTCCATTCTCCTCTCGGGATCTTGGGCATGCACGCACATGCGCCTGGCGTGAGTTCTAAGCCACCAGGTCCAGGACGCGAACCGCGGTCGACTATGTGGGAGTCCAACAACATAGCCATTATGCTAACTGCTGGTTCCCAAGTATTTGACTTATTTTTCAGAAAAGGTACAAACATAGAAAAAAATACTTTGATAGTCCCATTACACAGATTTCTGTGCGTATGAGAGTGATTATCTATAAATACGCTAGAGAGTCCTTCCTAAATATGAGGTAATCACGGGCACAATAAGTCTGTAACCAATAAATTTGTCTCTTTTTTGAAAGAATTATTTAATTTTATTTATTTTTTTAATTTGACCAGAAAGACAGAAAGAGACAGAGAGGGAAAGTGAGATAGCAAAACACTGTTCAGGGCTCAAACCATGCTTGGTGATGTAGAAGCCTGGCGCCTTAACCACCATGCCACCTGTTGGCCCCAATTAGTCTTGCTTTTAATTGGTTAACAAATGAATTAATCATTGGAGTCTGCCGAGAAGAAACAGGAAGTTTCTTTTGTTTGTTTTTGCTACAGGGCATGTGTGCTTGCCAGTTGCAGATTTTTCTACCTCTGAACAGAGAGAGAGAGAGAGATGGAACATTCCCTCCCTACCAAAAGGAATGGCCATGTCGAAATACCTTCTCCTTTATTCTCCTCTCAAGATTTTGGCACCCATGTACAGGGAATTGAACTGTGCAGTTGGCTATTGCTATTCCACCTCCTTAACCTCCATACTATTCTTTGGCCCATGGACTCCTAAAAAGGAACTATGTCTTAAAGTCTGTAGTCCAAGGTCATTTTTTGCTTGCTAATCAGCAAGGTCTCAGGAACCAAAGGGAGCACATAGTTCTTGAAATTTAAGGTGTTGGGGCCATCAGGTGGCATGGAGTTTAAAGGACTGGACTCCCACATGATCAAGCTTAAAGCACTGAACTCCCTTATGGCCAACCAGGGTTTGAGTATTGGACCTGGCAGCTTGAAAATCATGCTGGGTATGAGTGTGTGTGTTTGTGTGTGTGTGTGTGTGTGTGTATGTGCACAAAATCCCAAGAGGAGAAAAGAGGATAAGGGAGTAAGGTGTGGCCATTTCCCTGGGGGCAGGGGTGATTTCTCACTTTCCCCCCTACTTGTCTCTCTCTTTCTCTGGCAAGCACATGCTCCCAATGGCAAAAAATCTAAGTAATAATTTAAAAATTGAAAGTGTTTATGCCTGAGATGAAATGGGATTCTATTTAGACAAAAGATGTGCTTTTGTTTACAAAGCAAAGAACAACATACTGACTCCTAGTTGGCAAACAACCAAAACAGGGGAAACTAGGGAAAGGTTACCTGTGCTCAGGGAAACAGTGGAATAGCTCTTCACAAATTTTGAATCAACACTCCCACAAAAGCCATTGGACACGGAATCCATGTTATGGTGTACCTCACAAAGATTTAACTAGAGACAAGCAAATAAATAAAAATGGGAAAAAATACTTAAATACAATCTTATCATGACTTGATTCTCATGTCTCAGCGTTCTGAGTACATTTCTGACCAGTTGCACTCCGGTGCATGAAGTTTTTTGGGTAGGCTGGAAATCTAATCTGAGCATCTCAACCTGCTAAATGGCGTTATTTATTATCATGTTCTGCTTCAAGTTGGACATTACTTTGTTGTTGTTTTAATTTATAATAAAGACTGTGTGTACATGCCTGCAAAATAGAGAGACAAAGAGATTCACAGAGATGGGGTAGGGGGGAGAGAAACCCTTGACAAAATCTATTCATGATGCAATTCCCATCCCAGCCCCCTAGGTTGTCAGAATCTTGAGCACTCACGTGTACTTCATGTAGGTTTCAGGTGGACTAAGCAGGTGCCCTCCAGCATTGCAGTTCACTATGCTACCACTGTACGTCCAAGTCTGGACCTGAGCTTCACATTTGATTTTAAGACTTCTCAATGTCCTGAAGTACAGGGACAAAGCACAATATAAAATGAATGTCATTTGTTTTGAATGACAGGACAGCTTCATGGTACAGCAGTTATGAATTACTCAGAAAAACTGGAT